GCTCCCTCCGCCTCCCCGGAGAGTTATGGCATCGCAGCGGCCGTAATTCTTGCTGCCTATTGAGGGCTGCCACCATAAATCCGGGCTGCCCCATAAAACTGCAAAGGCAAAGCACAGGTTAATGATGGCAGGTCAGGCCTCAGGGCCCCTCGCGGCGGCTGGGGGACACGAATGGGGCCCTGCAGCCCTGGCACCCAGAGCCGGGCAGGGCTGGGGGTTGCTGGCCTGTGCCCCATGCCCCAGGAGAGCCTTGGGAGCAGGAGGAGAGAGGCAAGGGCAGCCTGCTTGTGTGGTGCTGGGGGTAAAGGGCAAAGGGCACCAGCTGTGCCCAGGTGCTGGGGCACAGAGGGGGATATGGGGGTGCTGGGAAATGGGGCCTCTCTGTGTCCCCGCCATCCGTGCAGCCTCCGTGCCAGGGTTTTGCCGGGGCCGGCTGTAATTAGCCCCTGAATATCTGGCAGCACTGTCGATGCCGCAGGATTATTGGAATTGATCTCAGCCGTGGGGGAGGTGGCGGGGCAGCCGCCCGGGGAAGGCGATCGGCGCGGCCCTCGTTAGCGCCCGCCCGGGGGCTCCGAGCGAGGTGGCGCGGCCTGGCCCCCGGCAGCCGGGACGTCTGGGTTTGCTGTCTGCCTGTTGTGGGGGGGCAGGCATCCGGGGCTCAGCATCCCGCTGCTGCCTGGAGCTGGAGCCGGCGCCAGCCCCGTGGAGGGGGGGCTGGCAGGACCCTCCACCCCCAGGCCTGGGCTGCGGTGCCTGCTGGTGTGGCCCCGCTGGCGAGGGACATCCGGGGGCCCCAGCTGCTCTGTCCAACCTGGTCCAGGGATGCCCGTGCACTGCCCCACTTGCCGGCTCAGGGCTGGGGGGACCTGGTGCTGGACGGCCCAGGAGGTCCTGGGGTGCCAGGCCAGGCTGGCTGAGGGGTCCCCGAGGGTTGTGCCACCCCGGTTGCTCCTCGATGCCCAGCCCTGCCCCGTGCACCCTGCACCCCGCTGCAGCTCCAGCCCCCCGGGGCTCTGGCTTGGCACCCGGGGCCTTCCCCAACTCCCCCAGGAGCGGGGGCAGGTCTGGGGCCGGGTTCCCGGCCCGCCTCAGCCGTTCTGCACCTGTGGACACACATGAGCTCTGCACAACACAACACGGCATAATGCAACACAGCACACCTGCCTTCTCTCCCACACAGCACCGCGCAACACAACACGCCTGCCTTTCCTCCAATACAGAACACAGCACACAACCTCCCTCCAATACAAAACAACACAATGCAACACAACGCATATGCTCCCTCTGACAGCACAACACACACAGTAACACAACACCATGCTCCCTGCAACACAACACACGCATTGCGATGCAACACACATGCTGCCTCCAACATAGCACAACACCCATGTGCTCTCTACAACACAACACACTCACTCCTTCCAATGCAGCACCACACACACACCCTGCACCATAACACACGCTTCCTCCAACACAACGCACGCACGCTTCTACCGCACCACACAGCACGTGTGCTCACGCTCCAGCGCCATGGGCCAGCGTCCCAGATGCCAGCAGCTGCCCGCGGTGACCTGGGGTGGGTGCGCGGCCGCGGCTGTGTGGGGACACAGCAGAGCATCCCACTGTGTGTCCTAGACCCCCTACTGCTGAACAGGAGCTGAGTCCCCAGGGTCTGCTGACCCGTGTGTCAGCACATGGCTGGCTCTTGCCTTCATGCCCCTCACCCCGTGCCACACTCTCTCCCCCCGTGTCTCCCAGGGACGCCCGTGAATCGCATCCCCATCATGGCCAAGCAGGTGCTGGACCTGTACACGCTGTACCGGCTGGTGACCGACAAGGGCGGCCTGGTGGAGGTGATCAACAAGAAGATCTGGAGGGAGATCACCAAAGGCCTCAACCTGCCCACCTCCATCACCAGCGCCGCCTTCACCCTGCGCACCCAGTGAGCTGCCCGGCTGGGGGGCGGGGGGGCTCATGAACCCTGGGCACGGCTCCTGCTGCCTGCTCGCTCCTGGCCATGAAACCATGGCTGTGCTCGGGCACCGTATTAAGAGAACGGGGTGGCTCCATCATGACCATGAGGGCTGCCCACGTACCCTCAGCTCTGCCCCTGCCGGGTTGCAGCCTGGGCTGTACAGCGCCTAGCACAGGGGCACCTCCCTACTGAGCGGGTTCTCCGGGCACTGCCGCTGTGCAGGAGTGAAGGGCAGCGCTGCTACAGCCCTGCTCACCTGAGCCCAGGCTGGGGCACCTGGGCATCAGGATCCTCAGCCCAGAGCTTGGGCTGAGCTGCTAGTTCTTAGGCATGTATGTGCCTGCGTGTGCATGTGCATGCATGTATGTGCGCTAGCATGTGTGCATGCCTGTGTGTGCACGTTTGCATGAATGCACATTTGTGTTTGGGTGCATGCGTGTGTGAATGCGTGCATGCATGTGTGCATATGCATGTGCGCGCGTGAATCTGTGCCTGCGTGTACATGCAGGTGTGCATGTGTGCGTGCAAATGTGCACACATGTGTGCATGCATGTGTGCATATGCATATGTATGCATGTGTATTGTGTGCACACATGTGAGCAGGTGTGGGTACATGTATATCCATGCATGTGTCTGTATGCATGTGCATGGCAGCGAGTCCCCACCTCCCCTGTCTCACTCACACCTCCGTGCCCCCCGTAGGTACATGAAGTACCTGTACCCCTACGAGTGTGAGAAGCGAGCGCTCAGCTCCCCGGGCGAGCTCCAGGCCGCCATTGACAGCAACCGGCGGGAGGGCCGGCGGCAGAGCTTCAGCGCCGCGCTCTTCAGCTACTCGCCCGTGGGCACGCCCACCATGCTGGCCTCCCCCAAGGGCCCCGTGCCTGCCCTCGCCCTCGCCACCCACGGCTGCAGCCAGCTCGCCCAGGTGCACGCCATCAAGAAAGGTGGGTGGGGAGGGGGCAGGTCCCGCTTCTCCGGGGCTGAGAGCTGGCAGCTCTGGGTACCGGTGCGTGAGGGCTGCTCAAAGGGGCTTGCCCCCAGGATACGCCTGGAGAGAGGGCAATGTGGTGGAGGGAGGCTGAGATGCCCACCCCATGGCATCTGAGTCCCAAGAGCCCCTATGCCCGGTGCTCCCATCACCCTGCCCAGCTCTGGGGGGCTTTACCTGGGGGTATAGGGGTGCCACCCCGCACCCCCTGAACCCCCGCCCTGCCTCATCCCAGCAGAAGATGGCCTGCTGTCCACGGCGGTGCCTGGGCGCCTCACCATCCCCGTGAGCCTGGCGGGGCACCGCCTGGCAGCCGCCTCCCAGGCCGCGGCGCTGGAGCAGCTGCGGGAGAAGCTGGAGACAGGGGAGCCCCCCGAGAAGAAGATGGCGCTGATGGCGGAGGAGCAGCAGCGGCTGGTGCAGCACGCCCTGCAGCAGAACCTCCTGGCCATGGCCTCCCAGCTCCCCATGAGTGTCAAGATCGGCAGCCGAGGTACCTGCCACAAGGCGGGGGCATCGGGGCCTTACGGGGCACCCCGGGGTGCAGGCGCTGCCCAGAGCCTGACAGCTAAGCAGGGTTGGGCCTGGCTGGTGTGTGGAAGGGAGACCCCAGGATGCTCCAGGAGGTGCCGGTGCCTCTGCTGCATGTTGCTCTGCAGTGGGGGAGATGGTAGGATTGCTATGGAGGGGCCTGGGAATGCTGCAGCCATCTGCGGGGCTTGAACCTGTGTCTGCTTGGCTCCAACATATGGGTAGGGCAGGTATTCTTCCATGGCCAACACGTAGTGAGCCCACAATGGGGAAGATGCCCGTGACATGGTATTCCTACGGTCAATCTCTGAGTGTGACTCCCAGGCAGGTGGTTGCACACCCAATGCTGCACAGCACCCTTAAAAGGATCTCACAGCACCCCAGGGTGCTGCAGGACCCCTGCTGAGACCCACCACTGTGATGTCCCGGGAGCTAGAGAAACACTTGCAGGTGTCAGGGTTGACAGTAGCTTTACCAAGGGTTTAGATAATGGATTTGGTTTGGACAGGGCTGATCCTGCCTCAGGCAGGGGTTGGACTCCGGAGCTCCCTTCCAGCCAGATCAGGGGCGTTTGCTCTACGCCCGCGGAGAAGGGCGCAGGGAGGGGTGGACGGGCAGACAGACAACAGCACGTCTGCAGATGAACGGGGGACTGAGAGAGCCGCTGTGAAGAGGTGGGAGGCCGGGGGGGTACATAGAGGGCATGCGTGCTCAGCAGAGAAAAGGGATGGATGGAAGGACGTGTGCAATGACACACTCGTGGCCTGCCCCTTCTGGGCCATGTTAATCCCCCCCAAGACCCACCCAGCCTCACACCAGGCCAGGAGCAGAGAGCTGTGGGGCCGGAGCCCTTTCCTCCGGCGCTCCCCCATCTCGTCTCTGTTTCTCTCTGTGCTCATATCGGTATTTCCTCCCCCTCCGCAGATGACAGACAGGAGACCGCATTGAACCTGTCCACCACAGGTATTAGCAGCATCAACATGTCAATAGAAATAAATGGAGTTGTCTACACAGGTAAATAGAAGGGCTGCTTGGGCCGTGTAATTGCGGCCGGGAAATCCAATAAGTTATAGCCACTGCCGGGCCGGCGAGTCCTTCCTGCGAGCTGATGTCTTTACTATAAAATCCATTGTAATGAAGTGGCAGGGTTGAGAGCGCTGGGGTGGGGGCAAGGGGGCAGGGGGCCGAGCGCTGGGAGCCCGGCGCCGGGGTTGGCTCTGTGTCGGGGGGTCTAGGGGGTTGGGGGGACT